ATATCTATCTATCTATCTATCTATCTCTGCTCATTCTATCTATCTATTTGTATAACCTATCTAATTTTACCTCTTCTTCCGTTTTTTACTCTCTTCTTCCTAAATCTTTTTTTTTGCCATTCTTTTAATTTTTCTTCTTTATTTTTTCATTCTTCCTTGTTGTCTTTATTCTTTCTTTACTGCATCCCTTTTCTCACTTCATGTTTTTATTTTTTTTCTTAATTCCTTTAACCTTCCTGTCTTTCCTTCCTATTTTTCTTTCTTTTCCTTTTTTCTTTCATCTCTTGATTCTTTTCTCTTTTTTTTTATTTCATTTTCCTCTTTCATCTTTCTTTTCTTTTTATTTTTTGTCTTTCCTTTCTTTCCACACTCATTTCTGCATCTCCATCTTGTCCCTTACGCCACCCAAATACATGACTGTCTTCCAGCCAAAAAATCCAGCCTGATAATTCAGACGCAACATAATAAAATTTCCAGCGACGCTAAATTCTCAAGAAACTCAATTGAAAAATATAGAACCGAACTGAGATAAAATATCCCGCTTGCTTCACTCGCCATTAAGGGTTTTTTTTTCAATGTACACAAATCAGTTTGACCCATTGTTTCCACGTAAACATGTCGCATCTTTTATATATAAATACATAATATAACAAGTGGAAATAGGACTTATCTCAATATCAACTGAGTTTTGCAATTTTGTATGGAGCACCTACAAAATTCTGCTTGTCTATATAAACTACATTTATACATTTCTATCTACGATCACCGGTGCATCTGTTTAGTTACCGAACTTCCTGAGCAGGAAACAGCTACACTGACCGTTTGATCGATACGTTTTCTACGGCGGAGATTATTTAAAGCCAGAAAACACGGAGAGAGAGGGAGAAAGCGGGAGAGAGAGGGAGAAAGCGGGAGAGAGAGGGAGAAAGTACGGCCAAACAAATAGAGAGAGAGAAAGAAAGAGGTAAAATGATTTTCTGATTGACAAATAAAATTAAACCGTTGAGCCCTGGCCACCGCTTTACCGGTGGTAGAGAAAAATGACTTAATGCCCAACCACCGGTTGAAGGGTGGTAGAGAAAGATGACGTAATACCCAGCCAACGGTTGAACAGTGGTGGAGAAAAATGACGTAATGCCCAGCCACCGGTTGCACGGTGGCAGAGAAAGATGACGTAATGCCCAGCCACCGGTTGAACAGTGGTAGAGAAAAATGACTTAATGCCCACCTACCGGTTGAACGGTGGTTAAACACTTGTAACTATTTTTATACCTTCCGTGAAACATTACATACCAATTATTTGAGTATTTTAACTCACGAGCCCAGGCAGAAGGGTTGAAATTGTTCAGAAACGCAGATTTCCGTTTCTATTTTTTTTTTTTTTTTTGTCTGGTCACTAGTTGTACTTCTGTGCATATTTTTTTTTATTTTGCTTTGTTGAAACGTGGGTAAAATATTGTATTTACGATAAACGCTTATCCTATTGACGCCATATGCCCGGTGGGGGGGGGTATCATTTTTCTTTCTGCTTCGATACATTTGAGTGATCTCCAATTGTTGGAGTTATAATTTGGAATACAGTTTGTTGCGAGCGGTTATGCGTTTCCCATCTTGTTTCGGGCGTTAATAACGTTGGTGTTTGAAATTAGGAATAAGAATTTCTATTGAAAAAAGTCCCTTGCTTGTTTATGGGTTGTCCAACAGAAGAAGTTTGTAGCAGGAACTAGTGTAACATAAAATTAAATACAATACAATGGTGCGATTGTAGTATTCGGTGTATTTTGTAACCTAGAAAATGTTACTGAATAGAATAATCAAAGGAAGATTAGTAATGAACGATAATACTTGGGTCAAGAACAACACATATAAGATTCGCCAGCGGCGCGTAGAAGTAGTAGTCAACTGCTAGAAGTGAGTCAAGTGAATTCCACAATGAATTTCCAACTCTAGGATATCTACCAACCGTCCTACACGGTCAGATGTGGCACAAGACCGAATTTAATATGGGGTATCCGAGCCCGTAGACCCCGTATAAAACGGGGTTGGGTAACTGTTTCCCGAGACAAGACTCTGCCCTTCGACATAGCCTTGTCTGGAGATCCTCTCTGCCCGGAGGTAGAGAGTTTGACACACACAGCTGGAGACGAATCTTCAAATCTAGACCAACATACAGTATTTACTACTATATTTATGTGAATGGGGACATATCCATTATCGTCCGTATGTATGCTACAATAGTCTGCCATAATGTTTCTAATACAGTGGTCACTCTATCATTCAAAATTCATTTAAAGAATTGTAATTTGCAATTCACATTTTAGTTGCTCCTTTTTTCTTTCATAAAAGAACTGCATTCATGGCATAGTTGCGTTTCTTGGACAGGATTAAGGAGATTGCACCCTTTCAAAAATGCATCGGCACATCTTCACGGGAAATGATGGTTCTGTAAAATCCGTTGGCAAGTCTTTTATTTACTTTGTTCGCTTCCACTTCCGTTTGAATGCCTTACACCGGAGGTGGGGGACCCAATGCCTCACAGCAAGGCGCGTTTCTTAAATACCGAGGTCGACTGCCCCATACTCTGCAATTGCGCTCTGTACGCCTGTCAGTTTCATTCTTTCATTATTCTTCTTCTTCTAAATGGCGCCTTTGATGGCCTACGCCCGATATCAAGTCACTTTCCATTCATAGAAATTAAAGTATTTGTACAATTTACATGCGGACTATTGTTCTCGTTTTTTGTTTTTTTTTTTTTTTTGTTATCGCAGAGTTTTGACCATTGTACTCTCCGGCCTTCAGCAGATGTATGTCGATCCGAGTAGGCTACGGGGAAATTTTGAAATAAACCCTTTATTCAATCTACAGAGATAGACTGTTCTCGTTCCACGGCCGAAAAGTTTTGATAACAACAACAAAGATCATTGTGCGTGTAAATAATAATAACTCCCAATCCCAGAGATTCAGACAAAATTTCAATTATTTACAAATCCTAACCATTGTGTTTAGTCCCCTCCCTTCGTTAGTTTGTACGACCTTTACGCCCTGCCAATACATCATAAATAATGGACTATTCCATTTTGATCACGTGGATAGAGACGAAAAGACACTAATTGTTTTCAGCGGGAAAGATAAAGAAAGAAAGGGAGGAAGATAGAAGGAGAGTGAGAGAGAGAACCAGATAAGAATGAAAAGAACAGGTAGTACAACTGTACTTTCATCTTAGTGTTCATGTCGGCTGAGATAAAAGTGCCATATTTCAAGCGCATAGTATCAAACGACCGAAACTGGGGAATTTAGTTCAGCGAGAAAGTGACAGAAAGAAAGGAAGTAAAATAGGAGAGAGAGGGAGAGAATAAAATAAGGCTGATAAGAACAGATAGTACAACTACACATTGATCCTTGGATGATGGCGACCGATATAAAAGTGCCATATTTCAAGTGCACAGTATCAAACGACGGAAACTGAGGAAGACAATCGCAAAAATTCAGTTACCATAAGTAAAATAACATCGTCTACTGAATTATTTTCAAATCATTATTAAAAGAAATATTCGTAAGATGTGAACTTTGCTAGTGATTATAATCCCAACATATTCCCAAAATTCCCAAATATCAGTGCCCATTAAAGACGAAGCACAATATACTGTTCCTAAATGTTCGATACAAACATTAAAGTTTTTCGTTCGGATAATTTGTCGTTGGTCGTTGGTGTGATATAAATACGATTTTCTGTAACAGAGTCGTCCATTATAAAACGATAGCTCTTCATGTATTCCTGTCATTATATAATATCAGAGGTTGTATCTGTACACAAAAGCTTTATTAAATATACACTTCTAGTAATGGTTCAGGCCCGCTTTCCATTTAGAACGGCTTCAATTTCAATAAAAGAGCATTTGTTCCAATGTCTTAATTGGCCAATTTATATGATATATATATATATATATATATATATATATATATATATATATATATATATATATATATAGACACGTACAGATTCCTTATTCATATAAAGTAAACCTTTGCGCGCACACATACGCAGAAATATACACATACTTAGACGTATCTACATACATGTGTGTACATACACTGAAACTAAAATATAAGTATGATTTGATTTTGCTTAATTTGAAAATTCACGTTGGAATGAAAATAAAAAAAAGATCTATGCAGCATCGCCCTCTATAATTTTTTTATAACTATAGTAATTATTAGCTTGACAAGAAAACTTGGTTCTGGAATGATTTTTCTCCTGTTTTGTCCCTTTAAGAGGTGGGCGATCATGTCTCACCTATCATTTGTAGCTTTGAGAAATATTTATCTTTTTACTATCTATACACTTCCCTGTTCTGTCATCCATTTTCACAAACATGTTAAGTAGGTAACTCGCTCTGTCCCTCTTGCCTTCAATATGTCCTGTGAGTTTCGTATTCTCCAACCCTTCTTTTCTCATTATTTGTCCCAGAAATTTCAACCGTCTCTTTCTGATTTTATGATAATTAAATAATATGAGGAATTGGTAAGTAGATTTTCAAATGTTTTTTTCGTTTCTTTTTGTCAATACCATTTGTCTTTTTTTTCTCGAATGATTCTTTCCGGAATGGAATTCTTTTTTATACGAAATTTCAGTATCAGAGATTTCTTATCTTCTCCCCTCCAACCAGCGTATATGGGTGTCTATCTCGAACTTGCTATTTCTGTGATCATGTGAAAAGATCGGTATGACTTGCGATAGAATTGCACACAACAATCCTGGAATTTGTGCCATGACCCATGTTGCAACCGAAAAAAAAAACATCTGGAGTATTGATCAAAATTAGAACTCGTAGTGCCGAATTTATTTCTCGATTTATAACCAACTGTGCCATTTCGCCCGTCCGCAGCTGCCTATCCCTACCCGTTCCCATTACAACACGTAGAAATTAAGTTAACAAGCACGTGACACGTTAGCCGGCTGACGACACAGAACACCTCGAACTATTTACCGTGTAGCGAAATTAGATTACTACGCATTCGCTGCGAGTGAAGAAGCGGCTTAGGAGGTCGGGGGAAGACGTGATGCGACACCGAAATTGAGGCTGGAAAAGAGTGCGGACGAGGGAAGGCTTAATTGTCGGCTAGAGAACGAAGAACGTAGAAAAAGAGGCACAAAGATTCCGGGCCGTTGATAAATCTTCCTCGGTTTGAAAACAGGCAGAGCGACCAGTTCCGAAGATAACTAACGAAGTCAGAAGCGAAGCGAATTCTTTGTAATAATGTAATGGTTTTCGCGGTTTGCAAGCGAAACAATGAAACTCTATGGAATCGGCCTTGGTGTACGCATCTCTGACAGCAATATATCAGTTGGCTTCAAATAAATGTAATACAAGGATTTTAATTTATTAACAAGTACCAAGAAGCCAAATAAAGTAATGCCCGCCAGTATAAGAGTGCTTCTCAGTAGTACCAAGAAATCTGTGCTTACTTATAAAATCAGCATTTCTCAATAATTCAACAAGTAAGGATCGAACTCACTTCTTATTTAATAGCTACATTGTCAAAGAAAGTCTGTGTTACGGCAATCTTTCAAGTGGAAAAACGCTGCCTCTTGAGAAATATTCCATTCTAAACACGAGCATTTGCCAAAGCTCGATTGCTGACCTTTCGTGCCAATGTGAATTAATTACCGATTTCAGCTCAAGTGCCAAGCATCCACAATTCCTTATCTTGTGGAGTTTATCAGGCTGAGATGCATACGGTACAAGGCCACATGGAATGGGCACCTACTTAGACTCTAGGAATTGTCTCCCAAGACAGTAATCCATACTTCCTTATTCTAAAAACTGTTTTGTGAAAAAGAGTAATTTACTACATTATTTACATTATTCGGACTGTTATCCTCATCTTCATTGTCATATTCACAACGGTTCGGCCGTTGTACGTTCCGGACTTCTTCAGGTGATTGGAATTTCAAACCGAACCCTTTATTTCGCCCACCGGGGTGGATTGTTCTAGTTCCACGTGCCATGCCTCTTCCGTATGTCTCAGTTATTTTCCTTTAAGTCAACTCACCAAGTTTTGCTTCACCACTTATGTGGCCTGGTATTGAACTCACAAATTTTGGGGTCTAGTCACTAAATCTAATCAACGTCTTTATTCACTGGCTCATGTGTCTTTGAGGAATGAATTTTTGGGGGACTTTTAAACCTAATATCTCAACAATCATTTTTTTACCAATGCTCATATTGTTATTTTTGTTATCATTATTGCATTTTTTACCTTAGCTTATATTGCAATTTTTGTTGTTATTCATTGCTTTTCTCTAGTACTTCTTATTACTGGTTCCCGTATTGTATTCATTTCTATGCTTGGTCGGTTCAGGGAGAGGCATGGCACGTGGAAATAGAACAATATACTCCGGTGGGCGAAATAAAGGGTTCGGTTCGAAATTCTAATCACCTAAAGAAAGCCGGAGCGTACAACAGCTGAAACGTTGTGAATATAGCAATGAAGATGAGGACAACAGTCCGAATAATGTAAATAATGCAAGTAATCATAATACCTCATCTCAGAGATATAGACATATATTGAGTAATTTACTACAAATACTTCTCAGTGGGGAGGGTGAATGATTTTACGATTGCAAGAGGGTTTATTGAAAACAGACTTTCGTATTTATAAGCAGCCTCTTCTTCCTCAAGTGATATTATTTGAAAGATTTAGTGGTACGTTCAAAAGGAATAGAGTTCATCGGCTCACGTATAATGATCTTGTTGGTTTTCAATCGCGAATAGAAAGGATTATAAATAAGGAAAAAAAAGAAGGACTTAGCTTTGGATTTCTAGTTTATTACAAGTAATGACGGTTATAATAACTGAGACAAGCTTGAGTCAGAAGAGAAATGGAATTTTTCAAATAAGTTTGAGATTTTATGACGCAAGTAAACAACCGACGTCGTTAAAAAAAGGATTTTCGGGATGAGTTGTTGCAATTTGAACAGACATTACAATCATAATTTTTTACTGTTATTCTTAAATTAACTAGGAAAAAAATGTAAAAAAAAAGAAGAAGGATTACCGAAAAGTTGCAAGAAAATAAAGAAAGATTAAATAAAGAAAGAAAAATATGAGAGCGTAAGAAAGAAAGAAAGAAAGAATGAAAGAAAGAAAGAAAGAAAGAAAGAAAGAAAGAAAGAAAGAAAGAAAGAAAGAAAGACACAAACAAACAAACATGATCACGGAAAAAGAAACAGAGAAAAATATAAAAAGTGTAAAAAAAAAAAAAAAAGAAAGAAAGAAAGCTAAAATGCGCACGGAAAAAGAAAGAGTATAAAACGTAAAAAGCGTAAGAAAGAAAGAAAGAAAGAAAGAAAGAAAGAAAGAAAGAAAGAAAGAAAGAAAGAATTAAATTGTGCCAGTTAAAAAAGAAAGAGATTAAAACGGTAAAAGAAGGAATGGCGTATTTGAGGGAAGGCATCAGATGAATGAACACAACTGAATTGAGTAAAGGGAGCAAAAAAAAGGGATAGACAAATTGAAAGAGGAAGGAAAGTAAGAGAAAATTGGATCTGCATCAAAACGAGCGACCATCGGCTTTTATATCCGGTGCGCTGTGTCTGTCATCTTCAAAAACACAATTAATAACACTGTTGTGCTGCCCTTCCAGTTTCACTGGTTCGTTCACTCGTTTCCCTCGCCCCTGCCACTTGCACTATGTTGCCTTCTCGCAGGGCCTTGTCACTCGACTGGTCGCCATCTTTCTTTCGGCCGAACGACCAGCATCATTCGAACATCCTCAATTCTTTCCTTCTGTCCTTGCAAATATGGACGTTCAGCTTGACGTAACTGATTGATCCTGGCGTTCAAGCCACGAAGCCATTTTTTCTCCTTGGCACTACTTCCTATCTTTTTCGATTCGACTACTACCTTTATCTTCATCAAATTCATCTATCTATCTATCTATCTATCTATCTATCTATCTGTTAATTTCTATCTATTGCTATCTATCTATCTATCTATCTATCTGTTCATTTCTGTCTATCTTTCTGTTCATTTCTATCTATCTATCTATCTATCTATCTATCTATCTATCTATCTGTTTATTTCTATCTCTGTTTATTTCTATCTATCTATATATTTATCTATCTGTTCATTTCAATCTATCTATCTATCTATCTATCTATCTATCTATCTATCTATCTGTTCATTTCTATCTATCTACCTATCTATCTATGTGTTCATTTCTATCTGTTCATTTCTATCTATCTATCTATCTATCTATCTATCTATCTATCTATCTGTTTCTACCTATCTATCTATATGTATCTATTTGTTAGTATCTATCTCTGTATTGTAGAGAGCCATGATCGCCCACGTCCGTAATGGACAAGACACGAAGAAGAAGATGAAGAAGAAGAAGAAGGTTATAGATTATTACGCAAATCATATTCACATGTAGAATAATAAAATAATAATTTATTCATGCATACGAGATATTAATAAATTATGTTTCTATATCATTAAAAAAATGCATTTATTTATAAATAAAAAATTGTTTGCATAATAAAAACAGGTATTCCCAAGACGAATTATTATCAATTGATTTTCTTATAATACTTGTCTCAATTTGTAATTCGGGTGAATAATATTGTAAGTAAATCACTGGAACAAAGATTAGTGAAGAAAAGGTTTCATCGCGTGAGGGGCATGGAATAATAATAATAATAATAGCGAATACCGTAGTTCAGTGCGGCAATGCGTACGACACAACGCTACTCTTTGCGAACTATTTTGCGACCCTGTTCCTATGAGCAAAAGTTCTACGTATAATGAATAGACGAGTCTATATATTCAACAGTTAGTGGAGAGATGGTCCGGCGTCTTTCTACACAATAGATTTTTTTTTTATTAGGAAAGATATTCTAATCCAAAATAGATTAAACCGTATTATTATATTATATGCCTTGAAAATTTTACCAAAATTGGTTGTTTTAATTCCAATTTCATTCGGAAAATAACTGTTCGATCGCTTTCAACTATTATGTTGTCACACATTATAGGTTGCCGCACTTCATAGGAAATGAATAAAACGCTTCTGAATTGTTAAATAACTAATTTATTTCGTTGAAATTGGTACCATTTTGATAAATGACTGTTCTCCAACTTACCTTTAAATTCTTGCACCCATCTTTAGAAAAATTATCACCCGTTGATGTGATAAACAGTTCGATAAATACTTCGATTACTATTTCCTTATCGGAAAAAGTTTTAATGTTTATAAAAAGCTCAAAATACTTAAATAATTGATAATCAGTAGGAGAGATATCAGGTGAATATGGAGGATTAGACAAAATTTCATCATTCAGGCTATGCAGCTTTTGGTCAGTTTAAGCGTCGGGCCCGTGCGTTGTCGTGCAGTAAAATTGGGCCATTCCCCATTCACAAATCTAGGATGTTTTTTTTGTTTCAATTTTTCGTGCATGCACTCATTTTTTCCACGATACGAGCTTGCTGTTATTGTTTTCCCTTGAGGCAAGAATGAATAATGACTAACCCCTTAGAAAGACCACCATGCAGTAACCATTAACTTTTTAGGGTGCAGTGGAGGTTTTGGGTATTGTTTTAGTAATTCCCTTGCATCTAACGCCTGGCCTTACTTTCGTCAAAGGGTATCTATTTCTCTTTGCATGTAAAGATTCGGGGCAAAAATGTTTTTTACCAGTTTGTGATCATTTTCATTAGGCTTATGAATAGCAATATGTTGAAAGGAAAATTATCGGAAAAAAAAGTCGGGAATAAGTCAAGATTTTTTATATATTAGGCGGTTACTTCTTTAGACGACCGGTTCAAATACCAACCAAAAAATGCGTCATTTCATGTGTGACATCCTAGTATTATTGGTGACTTTTAGAACGGAATATATCATCGTTTTCAAATTCAAGATAACCTTAACTAAATAAGACTTTTGTTTTTTCATTCAAATGGAAATTATTTATGACTGCACTTGATTGGTTAAGTAATCAAAACAACAGTTGGAAAACAGGTGCGACTTAATTCTGCTCTAATTTTGTTCCCGTTTGACTTAACACCATACTAAGTCGACTTTAATAAAAGTCCATAAAAAGAGAGAAGTACACGTTTTTCTACAAACAAACAAAAAACGACAGAATTTTAGAAGCGGTAGTATTACGGCGGAGTAATGGATAGCGGCTCGGGTTGAGGATTCGGAGAGCCGAGTTCGAATTCCAGTCGAATCTTTCGTGCTAATAAGCTTGGCAAAGGTATAATTTCTTTTCTTCTCCCCCAATTATGAGTAAATAGCAGGACAGACTGGGTTCTCTAGCATTGGATACCAACTGGTCTACCGCAGAAAGAAATGGCAACCTACTGCGGGAAAAAAACTGTATCGTCAGTCATGTATCGAAAGATACATGATCGCCTAAGCGTGTATCTTCCATGGCACATAAATGACAGAATATTATTGGAATTAAGAGAAAGATTGGAAATCCAGTCAGTATTTCAAAATCAGTGAATATGTTTTGATATCAAGGAATATTTTTGCACTATTTACATTGTTTGCACTGCTGTCATCATCTTTATTGTCATATTCACTTTTTGTTTCGTATTTTTCCAATGAAACATGACTCAGTACACATATTAGTACTTCGTATGTCCATTCCACGAAGCCATTCCTTGCAAATTGACCACAGATTCTCGATTGGATTTAAATCAGGTGATTTTCCGAGCCAATCGATACTACTTTGATTGCTCACTGGCAAAGCATGCCAGTGTGTTCGTGCAGTGTTACAATTTTTGTACACTTCCTCAGAGCAACGTCCACCACAGACAATGGCCGGGGGACAACTAATCGACAGTCGAAACAATAGTGTCTGGGTAGGATGAAAATCTGATGCAATCACCGATGATGCAATATTTTTCAAGGCGACAAATTTCATCATACACCACGTAAATAGATTCATATTACTGCACACAACTGCAAATGACATAATCTGAGGAAAAAATAGAAATCGATTACACTCTGTCACACTAGTTGGTCTAAAACAGACCGTATGTTGAAAGAAAGGAAACTAGAGCGGTTGTTTCAATTACTTTGCACAAGGACGGGTATCTTAGCATTCTCTATTGAAAACCAAATATCTTGATGACACGGAATTACGTATCTGTCATTTGGTATAACAGATACATGATTAAACATTAAGTCATTACATAAACATTAACGATTTTACTTTTTTCGTCATTGCTTAATGTTTTATTATTATAAGAAAAAGTCTTAATAGAATTTAAATTATGATTTTTTTTTTTTCTAAAAGTGATCAGTGTACATAAAAAATATTCTGTCGTAAAATGAAAAAAAAAAATAAATCCCAAACATTATTCAAAAGAAAAAACATTGTTTTGAATGAATAACTATCTTCACTCTAATTTACAGAAGAAAGCTCTTTATCAATGGAATGAATTTTTATAAGAATTGTTTTCATTTTTTTTTTTAATTTAAAAAATTTATAAACTTTCAAATAATTTTAAATTTGGAATGGTATTCATTTCTTTTCACTCAATGATATTGTTATAAATTAAAGACCTTTATTAATCATAAATAGAAAATTCGTCTTTTCTAATATTCTGGAAATAATTTTAATTTATTTAATGTGTGTATAAACGTGTCAGTTTTGGTAAATACTGATGTCCAAACGCGACATTATCAGAAAATAAGAGCATTCCCGATTTCAAATAATATTTTCAAAATTTTCAATATGTATATATAATTATTTATTTTGGTTATTATTACCTAAAAATCAATAAAATATAAATGGTTAATTATTATATATATAAAATTATATATATAAAAGGCGTTCACGTTATATATATAAGTAATATATTTAATAATAAATGTTTAATAAAATAATAGATAAATAAAAAAATATTTTGAGAAATATTAAAAAATATATATACAGTATAAAAAATATTAAAATAATTAATATAATATTTTAAAATATATAAAAATAATTGTTTTAAATGAGATTAATTATATTTAATTAATTAATATTCTTATATAAATAAATTTATAAATATATGTTTTATATATATATATTTATATATAAATTGAATTACGTTATTGTTGATTATTATAATATATAGTTTATGAAAAATTAGGTAATTTATATTGATAACAAAAAATTCATTCCAGTCAAAAAAATTTAATTTGAAATGCAGAGCAAATTTTTAAAAAAAACAAATTTATTTAATTAGTTTAAAATGAAAACTAAAATTAACGTTTCAAGAAAGACCTTTTAAAAATGCATTTTTAAATCTTAGGTCAGACTTTTCTTTAAAAGTCTCAATTTTAATGGGAAGTCATTAGAAATATTTTTTTTTTTTTTTTTTAGCTTGTTTTGATTTGTTTGTTTAATATATATCATATATATATATATTTAATATATATATTTAATTTTCTTGAGAGTTTTGAACAACAAAATGATATACATTATTTTGTTTTCACAATTGAATATATGGTAGACAAACATTCAGATTTTGTGTATATAAATTTTTTGTGGATGAATTTGATTACTAAAGGCGGTGATATCTCTGATATGTTGTAGTTTTCACAAGTTATATTTTTGAATAAAGTTTGATTTCTTTAGAAATATATATTATATGGGGGGGAGTTTTGAAAGAATTCTTTCTATGCAACTTTGGTTATTTCGTTGATTTTGTTTACTCGAACAGAATTTCATCATTGCTTTTCCGATTTGACTGGTTTTTGCGTCGACGAATCGTTAAGTTTTTCCAAAATGATACAATATTGGGGTTATTCTATTGGCTTTCTTGAAAAAATGCGGAATACCATATCCATTTATTATATGCAGATGTTGCATAATGAAAATTAAATTTCTTCAGTTTTTTGAAAAAGCTGAATCGGAAAACATTTACACACAAACACAAACATATCACGATATAAGAGTGGCTTTAAAATCATATATATTTTCCATAATATTCAGTTTAATAGAAAAGTTGTACGAAAATAAAACATGCTCTATATTTACAGAAGTATGCTTTTTTTTTTTTCTCTCTCACTGTCCCCCATTTTCTTTCTTTATACATGACCACACAACAGTGACACACACACTGACACACACACGACACACACACACTTCATATTTATCTAGAGGCTATCTTGATATATAGCACCTTTGAGGAATCGATAGCCGATCGGAGAACAAAGTCGAATCCATTACATTTGACTTAGGAGTGAAAATACCCTTGGGAAAAATATAAAAAATCGATCTTCTTCTCCTCCAGCTATGGGTCAAAATAGCAGGACAGAAGTTTTTCTAAAATTTGGAGATTGGCAACATGGTCAAGTTTAGCTGCAAGAACAATATAAACGCTCTCTGTATTCGGCCCTTCAAACGTTTGGATGGTAATATGGATTTTTTAAATATATATCAAATCTTTTTGCTGTTTTTCGGGCTGTCGCTTTTTCCTAAACGGAACTGATCATTTGACCCTCATACGCCGAATTCGACGGAAGATTATTCGTATATGAGTTCCAGATCAAATGTATATTAGATATAATAAGAATCGGAAAAGATGATAAAATAAAATAATGAATTTAAGGAAACGTATCTTAATCTAACATTTTATTTTATTAAACCTGAATTCAAGAGCATTTGAGATACAAAAAAAAAAAAGATTACGTACTGAGAATGTCAATTTTTTACGAAAGTTCTTATTGGTCAATTCAGGCCAGTAAACGTAATTAAAACATTTATATATATATATATATATTTATATAATAATGATGTATATTTAAAAATGTTGAATTTCAGAAAAAATTATATTTTTGCATTTTTATGTTTATACTATTCTTTTATAGATACAAATATAGATAAATGTTCTATATATATAAATAGTATTATATATATTTATATATATATATATATATATATATATATATATAGAAAAATATTCGTCCTATACATATATATGTATGTATGTACCGGAACCGTCATTTGTAGACCAGATACGGATAGGAATCGAACAAGAGGGCGTTCGTTTAAAATAAAAGAATTTACTGTATTTAAACTTCAATCTTCCATAAATTTCACGTTTATTAAATCTTCATGGCGTATCGAAATAAATGAAAATGAAGGAGACATTTGAAATGGACAATGTCAACGATTTTATTTAAAAATTTTTATTTATACATTTGTTTTTATTAATACAAATATTTAAGTAAATAAATCTGTTTATAATAAATATTTTGGAAATTAAAATTTATTGACTGAAAAAATGTGAAATTTTAAAAAGAAAATATTCGTCATTGTCTAGGTGTATGTCGGACAGTAACATTAATTAATTATATATAAATATATAGGTGTAAAATTGATATATATAAATATCATTAGATGTCAATTAAATATATATAAATAGACAAGTGTTTTATTTTTTATGTAAATTCTTTTCATATCATCTGATAATATATCTTAATAACATTATCATATAAATGAATAAAGAAAATATATAATATTGATACATATTTTTAAATCTAAATCTAAGCTTTCGGCTTACATAAGCCATTATCAAAGATGACAATTAATTTCAATATATTAAACAATACACGGACAAAAAACAATAATGATAGTCTGTTTTTGTTTGCATGAGAAAATTTTCAAGCAACGACAAACTCGTGTATATAAGACGCTGGAAGCGAAAATCGCACCGCAGCTCATGACGTCACACATGACCACGCGAGAGTGAAAAACGAGAAGTATTAAGTATGGGAAGCCGTTGGTATAAACCAATGGCTTCTGTTATAAATTATAGGCATTGAAGGATATTTGTGGAGATTTCGTAGTTTATTTTGTTCAGGTTGGGTTTCAATTGTTTTATATATATAGCTTCAAGAATTTTTAGTTTTTGTTTATTGTTTTCATGTTTAAGTATAGTTGTGTTGTCAACAAGGATTTTACGGAATTGAGTACGCGGGCAGGCATGTTGT